TTCGTCGCGCTTATATCGCGATTTCTCCCACTCCCGGGCACACGATTTGACCCACGAGATCCGAACGAGAGGAGGGAAAGAGCGAAAGAAGGAGAAATGTAGGAAAGCGAAGGAAATGTCCGACTATTTCGTCAACGTGCAATTATTTAAATGGCATGGCTATTAGGAGTGCGTCCGTGCAGTCCTTAGAAGAGACGGAGATCGCGAGATCATATACGGACGCGTGGCTTTCTTCTCGCGATTTCCATTTTAATTAATTTTCGTTCCGGCGAGGGTGGACTTCGTCGCACACCTCTTTCAGGATCGCAGTCAATTACAAATTGTTGCAAATCTAAACTTTTCGATTAAATATAAAGCCGATTCAATTAAAACATTATTGTAGATAATCACGATGATAATAGCAATACTGATAATCGTAGAAGTGGTAATCAAATATCAATTTGATTACTTAACCAATTATTAGAGTGAATAACGATAATATTCATATACGTTTATGTGAATATGTAATTACTTCTCATTGGGGCAAAAACAAGGCTTTCGAGCATTATTTTGTCTTTCAAGCGGTATTTTTGGCGTGACCTAAATCTCAAAGTAAATCTATCAAAGTGTACTCGAGAGTGAATATTTTTCTGGGTATAATCTTGATCTCGCAGCTTAGCCGCGTCGCCAAGCCATAATTTACGTCGAAATCTACTTACCAAGAAACATACGAGAAAGTCGCGCTGTGTGTGCTGTTGCTTTCGCGACCGGTTAATCGAGATTAAGATTAATTAATCGGCAAACGTAATCTGGACGCAGTGCGAGCGTGTGATAGTTCACTGCCACGAACGTCGCGTGGCTGCATTCTTCCGAATGCACATCTCCCGTTTAATTCTCTAAAACGAAATTTCGCGTTGCAACGTCCGATTTAATGCCCCGCTGCAAAACTACCCGAGGCGATGGCGAGAGTTCGCTTTAATACCGAGATACTAATTTAAAGCGCTGCTATTAAAATACGTAACGCTGTAAGCTTTTTTTTCAGCGTACACGGAAAGCCGTCGCGCGATGAAAACTAGATTGAGAAATATGATAAAAGAGAGGAAAGACCTGTTAATAAGTGGCGCTTCAAAAGCGCAATAAAACGTTTGCGAATTATGTAAAAGAGATTTTTACGGTCGCTGATACGTAAAGCGGTATGAGACAAGGGCAGATCGAGAGAAGCAAAATAATGCGCGCGACGATTGAAAAATATTAAAATTTATACAATTGTCAAGACAGTTCCCGCAATCGTAATATTGATTATAACGTTGTCGCGTCATTATAATGTTGATTATAATGTCTCTGCAAATTTATATTCTGTTATATCTGTGTCGATAAACAATAATAATTATTGTTAAAAAGATTCCTCTACCGAATTACAAGCAAAACACCTAAATGACATCGTTAGCGAAAGCAATTAATTTGAAGTATTACTCGAGGGGGAAACCGCTGAGGGCATTGTGGTGTACCGGTTTGCGGCATTACTGGGCATTACTAGCCATTACTAGCCATTTTTTGGGCATTAGTCTGGGCATTATAAAGATAAAATAAGATAAAACGAAATAAGTAAGATAAAATACGATAATAAGATGAAGTAATGCCCAGTGGGTATTGGTGTACAAGACTTTGGTCAGCGGTTTCCCCCTCGGTATCGCTTAAGTTATCGCTTTATGCTCTGGAATAAAGAAAACGTTGCTAATAACGAACCTCATATTTATAAAATATAAAACTGAATGAACGATGTTTCACGTGCTTTACTACTTTGGCCATTCGAGGGTTTCCCCAATATAGCTTGAAATCGCGGTATCGATTTAACCCTTTGACTAACTGCGATGTGCCGCCGTGTCATCGCTTCACGACATCGCGATGGGTCTGATGGACACGTCGTATGTTATCGATTTTTCTCGCTTGTATGACGCCGCGGTATGACGACCTGCGGAGCTGGAAATTGTGGCATTGTAATAGTCGGCGGGATTTTATTGACTGGATTGCGCCACCGTCATCCGTCGATTTATGCGATCGTATAATCATCGACAACGTCGCGATAATGCCATTCATTCATTAATCATCATCTTTACATAGCGATTCTTCCGGATTGTTAAACAATTCAGTGTCTGATAATTGACACTTACGCGATAAATACATGTTTAAAGCTTTACGAGACGTAATTTTCGACGTACAAATATATAGTTTACACGAGTATAACTGCATGAGTAAACTCCTCAAGTGTTAATATAAATCTATTAATAATAAAGGGGTAAATTATTTAACATTAAACTTTTTATCAATCTCTTTACAAGATAAAAATACAAAAATGTACCATGGTTTGCTAGTTTTACGTCGGCTACGCGAAGAACATGTCAGCGATGATAAAATATGCACCACTTTCTTCCTCGGTTCTCAATGACAATCTAAAATATTAACATTTTCATCGTGTCTAACGATTTCCGTATTATTCTGGAATCTTTTACGAAGATAACACTTCGTCGAGCGAATCGATCACGGAATTATCGGAGAGAACTTCCACACTTTTTACATTAGATTAAATTCGCGCGCGCGAGCGCGAATGGGATCCCCGTTTCTCTCTATCTGATCGCGAGCTCGAAAAATTCGCGCGAAAAATTCACCCTACCAATTCCGAGGGAAAATTACACGATCGAACTTCACAGCAACAATCGTCGCGGAATATTTTTCGCGGTTTTTCCCCCGTCCAGAGCGCTTTCCGAACGGAGAGAGAATCGACTGGTCGCTGGACAATAATTCATTCGCGTCGCTTATAAAATGAGATTTACTACGGCGACTTTTCGCACCTCCTTAGTTTTCCGCAGACGACTTCTTAATCTCATCACCTCGCCCGTTACCCCGTTCCACAGACGGCAATCTAATTTTCCGCCCAAAAGGAAAGGGTTTTAATCGCTCGCCTCGTCTGAATCCATTCGTCCCTGACTGTTAACCGAAAGACGCGTAAGTTGTTTATTTTTTACGGACTGTAATTTGTTAACGTACTTACGAAAGTTGTCTTAATTACTTCTATGCCTGATCTCTCTTAATTAATTGTTACAAATCCAGTAAATAAGTAAATTTTATCATCCTCTTCCCGCAAAGTATTAGAGCTAATTCTTACAATATAAAAGTTGATTAATAAATTTAATAAAAAGTTTCACATTGGATATTTTCGCACGAATACCTGCGGTTGGCTCGCATTGGCCCTCTCGCCCCCCCCCCCCACCAAATTTCTTATAATTACATATTCCGCAACTAGTGTATTTTTCGTAATTTAATAAGAAATGTAAGAGCAAGACATTTTGTATTTCTTGAGCAGCAGAATTTCGCTGAAAATTTAATCTCTCTGTGCAGACTATTTTCATCTGGAAGACTTTTCAAGTAGCGGAGGAACAAAATGTACACGAAAAATATTATATAAAATCCGAGTGCGTACCTCCCTTCTTCAATAATCGATTTCTCTTACACATGTTCCGCGTTCTGTTTTATTTTTACCACCCGTGTAATATCAGCCATTTCAATTTTCTTATATTCATAACGCGCACACGAGATTTTTCCCGTCAGTATCAGCGAGAACGCGCTGCGAAAGCGCACCTGGCACTTTGACGGTTCCCTCCTCGGGTCGGCTTCACGGTTCGGCGCCGCCGTATTATAACTTCGTATGCGCCGACAATCCGCATCCGCTTCCAGATCCGCGCAAACTTCTCCGCGTGCCGGCGACTCGCGAGTCACGCGGTCAAGATTTGCAATTCCCTCACTTTTCTGCCATCCGCCCCCCCCTCCCGCCTCCGCGTCGTGGCGAATTCTAAATTTCCTCGAAATTGAATGCGACGGGGAAGTTCGCCGCGATTCGCAGCTTCCGCGACCGTGGCGCGGCAACGTGTAACCAGCGTTGTAACTTCCGTATGCAGCATCTGGCTCCGCCAGAGGAGCGCATTGTGCGCCTCGGTTATGGTTGCGCGACGATATTTAGAACGCCGGGATAACACGCGTCGAAGTTGAACTTAAAGTTATTCGTCGGCATTCGTCGGTGCCCCATTTTCCCACGTGAACTCGAGACTTGGCGTCTCAGGATGCGGTTACAATTTATGCAGCATGTTTAAAACGCGATTAATAAAATATTTCGAAACTGTACATTTTTAATTAATTAACAAGTCACAAGTAAAAAGCAGAGCCGAAACGTACGATTTATAATTATGTATCGCATTAGTTAGCAAAGACCGAACGTTCATTTATTCACTGTCAACCGCGTTGAACTCTCAAAGTTCTCTCTTCATTTGTTCATTTCATCATCGAGAGTCGCTTTGTGCATTCAATTATTTTTAAATAACTTCTTCGATTCTCACAGTTCGACTTAGATGCAATCACACGTTTATATTACTACATCTATATTTGACGTATAAAGCGTCTTCTCATCTTTCGCCTCGATCGAGTATCAATTATTCGTCGAGTGAAATGTTTAGTGGAAAAAAAAGACGCGCGAGCACTTAATACTTCGATCTGCAAGCGCGTATCTGATTACGTTCCTCAGAATAAACGACGCCGAGTCAAACGACCTCATTTGGGATTCTCTCTCGTTCCCCGAGCCAATCGTCATCGCCACTTTCCTCCGCATTTTCCGGCCGGCGTGTCCCGCGATACGTTGCCGCGCGTCCGCGTCCGCGCCGCTCCGCGTCGCGATGCAGCGTAATCCGGTCGAAAAGCCGGTTACGCTCGTCCTCATTAACTCGCCTCAACAATGAGCGTGGGTGTCGGCGTAGTACGTCCTTTCAACCCCCAGTCCACATCCACACCCTTCTCGAAAATCGCAGGGCGCACGCGCGGGCTCTCTCTCTCCTTCTCTCCGTTTCTCTCTTTCGCCTCAACGTCGACGTCGACGACGACGACGGCGACGGGCTACGACGATTACGTCGACGACGGGGAACGACGTGTGTGGGGGTGGTTCGCGCGTAAAATCGCACCGAGCGGAGGCGCTCAGTCGCGCGGGACACGTCGCGGGGTGCGGTTGCTTCGTCGTGGTGTTCGTCACGCGGTGGTACGTGCGTGCGTGCGTGCGGGCGTGCGTGCGTGCGTGCGAAGGGGGCAGGAGACGACGACGACGACCCTATCTGTGCCTTTCGCACGGGGGTGGTGTGGACGATGTGCGCGTGCCGATAACGATAAGGCCGCTGCAGGGATGTGCCTAGCGGGGGGCACTCGAGCCCTCCTGCTCCTGGCGCTCGTGCTGTGCCAGCGTGCCGGCCACGTCGATGGCAAGAATGACAACTGTGAGTACGCACCTCGTGCACCTCTTATCGATGCAACTCGAGGGAGGGATCGTAAGCGTTGGACGAGGGAGACGGCGCGCCAACCTACGTGGCTCCAACGCTTTCGCACTTGCACGAGATTCTCGATAAAGCGTGTCGATCTTCTTCAATCTTCATGAATGTCCCGCGGGTCCGACGTTCGGTCTCGTGCGTCGCGCACGAGTGTTTTCGAACTGTGCTGATGTTCTAGACATGCGTGAAGATGTTTATCGCCGTTCTAAGGCTACAACCGTGGACCTCTGCGTGTCAAAGTCCCCGATAGTATCGATTCAGTGAATGTTTCTTTGCCAATCGCGCGCGGCGTCGGTTTAATTAATTTACACTTAATTAATCATTCTGCAGCGTAATGTAAATTAAGTAGTAAATTATAATAAATTGACGCAATTACGGGCGCTGTATCGTGTTAAACGATAAATGTTAGAAAACGTTGGAGCAGATCGAGGCATTGCACGAATATGACGCTGCAATTGTCGATAAATTGTAAAAATGGAAAATGTGGGGAAAATGCAAACAGAGAGCAACTTGTCTGCGGTGTAAACTTATCCGCAAGAATATTCAGGCCCCTAGTGGTTAGTCGACTAACTATCTTTTTCTATATATTGTTATCTAAAAAGAGACAAGTAATCGACTAACCTCTGGCTGACATTTGACCAGAAAAATGAAAAACCGGACCGTACAGTGTTTAAGTTAAGATCGGTTCGACGCTTTAATTTAACTCCAGCCTCACTTACCGATGTTATCTCACAATTACGTGACGGATTACTCTCCGATATAAACTTGCTGTTTTTATTTAACAATGAAATTAGTGCCGTAAATACCACATGTCTTACGAGTTTAAGCCGATCCGAGAGTATTATGGACCATAAGCCGGCTCCGATTTTAAAGGAGCCGTATTTCATCAGCTCCTTTAAAATGGCCGCGGCACAAAAGCGGAATATATCCCCGCGGGACATCGCTAGTATATCCCCATCTGTCGGTGTCGTTCGCCTCTCGATGTCGAGGCAAGAATTCGAGATGGTATCTGAAAATTTATCATTGCTCTCGATAACCGCGCGGACAACGCGCGTCGCACAATAAAATTGTCTCGTGCCGTAAAATCGGACGAGAATTCGCGTCACGGATTATCGGCGTGGTTTCGCGCGCGCGCGCGCGCGCGCGAGAGAGAGAGAGAGAGAAGAGACAAGGGTCAAGAGATATTCCCGCTGCCGGTTCGCTCGCTTTTCGGCATCAACGTATGCTAAAAATACGGTTTATGGGCAAGTCGTACGACACGTCGTATCAGATTGCTCGACGTTATCGGCGCGCCACAAATCATGTCTTTCTCGAATCCTCGAATTCCATCGTTTCCCGCATTCGTGTACGTATGTAGAGCACTAACAATAAGAGCGATATCGGATTTAGCTCGCGCTGGTTATAATAAAACCGAGCTGCGTTCCCATCGAGGCAAACCAAGAGCTAAACTCTTTTAGCTTCTTTAGACACGAATGAAACGTTATAGTCGTTTCTCCCAATGAGCGGGTAACTCGCGAATGAATTATTCGAATGGAAAAGTTTCGTTAAGTCAATTTTTTACAAAGTTGTTTCTTCCGTAATCGGGTAGACGGTACGACCGAGCATTATTTCCGTCCGTCAGGGGAGGCCGCAGGGAGAAGAAAGGATTTCGCAGAATCCCTTTCGGAAACGGGGAGAATCGGCCGTGCGAGAGATCCTTTCTCTACTTTTTTTTTCTCTCCCTTTCGCCCTCCTGTAAAATTTACTCTTTACGACTTGCGCCTGCAACATTCCCGACGCCGCGTCCTCGCGTCCTGAAAACTGCATCCGCGACTTCGCGCGCCACCCGGAAAAGTGGGCTTGCGCCCATATTCGCGGGGAAGGAAAAGTTGTCCTAATGCATTAGGGACGCATGTGTCTCGCGCGTTACTTGCGCGAGGCGCGCCTTCGCTTCCTACTTGGGGATTGGTTTACGATACCGTGGCGAGAATCGATCTTATCGCGACGCGTGCACCACGCCAGCACGAACATCCACCGTCTGTCCGCGAAAATAGATAATTGTCTTCGCGCGCTTCAATTTTTGCACAGAACGAACGACTAAGCGCGCGCGAGCTGTTCTATTTAAAATTTCACTTTGAACCAATGACCCAAATAAACTCCCAAGAATTTGACAAACGATTAACGAATAATGAAGGATCGAAAATGCGATGGTTCAATTGATCTTTCCCCTTTTACAGCTATAAATTTAATAACTATTTAATATTTTGATATGGGAGATGAACTATTCAGCCATATTAACCCTTTGAAGTATATATTTTTCTATTGAACCATTGATTGTGAAACTTTGTATACAAGGGTTGTTGGGGTCGCTGATTACGAATCCGTTATCAGATTTTCAAAATCTGATATTCAAAACTTAAAGGAATAAAATCATTCAACTGTAATTCAACTATGCTAAGAAACATTATTTAGATATTATTGGGCCTCATGGAATCTAAATTTCAATTGAAAATTCTTATAGAATATACAAAATAGCGCGCGCAAAATGGCGGATGCAAAATTGAAATTTCATCATTTCTTAGAATTTACTCATTCTTGACACTGCCCAGAGCTAACGACGCGGACGTGGCGAGTCCCTAAATACCGTAATCAAACGAAAGTGCTGAAAAACTTGAAAACTTAAAAAATTCACGCACTTTGCATCTGCTATTTAAGGTCGGCCATTGTGAATTTTAAAAATCTGATATCAGATTCGTAATGAGCGACCACGAAAACCCCTTTGAACAAAGTTTTCAAGAAATAATCTTAAAAAACTTGGTCATTAATAAATTTTTCCGAAAAAATTGCTGTTTTTTCATAAAACTTTTACAATAAATATTCAAGACTACTCAACTTTTTTATGTTCTTTTATCGCTAAGATACCCAAAAAATGAACAAAACCCGACCTAAATGCGTCAATTAGAAATTAAATGGCCAAAAAATAAAGAAGTTGAGGTGATAACGTATAGGTTACCACCGTGCTTCAAAGGGTTAATATATGTATGCGATCATAGAGTACCTACTTACTGGAGCGCGTTCAATAAAATAATGACGTATCAATCTATTATGCATTGTAATAAGTTTACAAAATATAACATATGGCTTGTAAAAGAATTAAAACTTCTTGACGAGAAACACAGTGGGTGCCACAGCGAAAAGTATTTGCACCATTCGAGCGGGATTCGTGGGAAATGCGGTTTGAATTAAACGTCGCTATTTCTCGTTCATAAGTTTGTACTTGGCGAAAAGTCTGGAGTCGAGAGCTCTTTCCGAAACGTCGATACTCCGGGCGCGGCGACGCGGATTAAGTGCCATTTCTACGACGGCGGGTCGCCGTGTCGCGAATTTTTACGGCCGGGTCGCGACCCCTCGAGTTCGCGTATTCAAACCACGAGTATCGTTTTCAGCGGTCCGACATATAATTTCGGAGCGTCCGCTCGCGACGGAGAATTTTTACGATCACATCTGTCCCTCTCTCGCTTCGCGATTTCATTAGACGTGAATTTTGGTATCGCATCGCGACCGAGATTTTGGCACTTTATAGTCGATAAAACGTTTCGTCGAGCCAGCGCGGAGAGCAATCGTGACGTACGCGAATTTACGAACGTCTCGTAAACGCGGAAATATTTGTGATTCACGCTGCAATGCCTAATTATTTTGACGTGAACAAATCGTGGTGAAATGTCGTATTTTATTTCATAAAACTGCAGCATTTTAAATGACAGTCTATCTTCCCACAGACTTGAATATACACTATTCTTTTCGCTAACAATGTTAACGACAAAACATAATTAATTCTTGACACCGAGTCGAATTGCAACGCGTTAAAACTTTTCTGAAAACGTAAAAAAAAAAATACACCGTGTCACGGTTTATTCGTGCCATTCAACAAAATTATTCAGAAAATTGTTAAAAATAAAAATGAAAAAAAAAGAGAAAGAAAAGCAAGAGTATTGGACCATCCATACGTTTCAGTTATATCTCTAAATTTGTTTTCATCAACCTGACACGTACAGCGAGTCTAGGTTGATGATTTTAAAATGCTTATGTCCTTTAATCTTGAAAATAAAGGGACATGAGTAAACAATTAATTTTAGCTCTCACCATTTCCATTAAATGCTTATCTATTTTTCATTCTTATTTTTCTTATTAATTTTCAATTATATTGCATCTTGTGCGTCATTCAGGAACGTATGTATATGCGCGTATGTGATGTGTAAATGTGTGTGGATATCCGCCGGTTCGATTGTGCGGATCAGTCCCTGCGGGAAAGGTGCGACAGGAGTTGGAACGTACCGGTCGTGGTCCCCAGGTAAACTTTTAAGTGCATCCGTTATATGTGCGTCGATAGCATTGTTTCCGGGCTTTCTCTTGTATTCCGGCGGATAAAATTGCAAGGAAAACTTGCTAGAATGCTTGCGAGCTTTCGCGACAAAACACTCGTAGAACACGATGCTTCTCGCGCGCCAACGCGAACGAAAATTGAGGGGGGAAACACTTGCCGTAAGATGGGTTTAGATTTATTCGACTAGAAAGAGGGAGTGTAACTTTGCGTCGCGATGCATGCAGGCTGTAAACTCTGTCGCTCGGCGAAACAATTTCGAAGAAAGCCCAAAGGCAATATGTAATGCATTTAAGTAAGTTGCATTTCTTGATTCGCGTCACTTAAAGGTCATTCAAAAATAATATCTTACTTTTCGCTGTACGAGATATAACTAGAAAATTGAGGTTCGCGTCTAATAAAACATTTTTCCCAGATTTCGCGTAAATTGGCAGCGAAACCGTCGAAATTCGAGCCGAAAGCTCGCGTTAATTTTCATCGAGGGTGTATATCACGGGAGGCAAAGTTACGACGATATCTAACGACGGGAGACGCAGGCATCCGGTGACGTACAATTTATCGAGCATAAGTAAAAATTTGCATTCGCTCC